TGACAAAACCACTTAGAAGTAGGAATTGGTGGATATTTTTAACATAAAATACTTACCTCAGTCCTAAAGTAGCATCTTAATGGCAAAACATCGGAGACATTTCCACTGAGAATGAGGAAAGGACACCTTTATTTCTATTACTATGCAATGTTGTACTAGAGGCATTAAGCAATGCAATTAGGCAAGAAAAATGAAGCAAAAGCACAAAAACAGGTAAGGAAGTAAAACCATCTTTAGTTGAAGGTGATATAATGGTATATCCCGGAAAGTCTTAAAGAATCAATGAGCCTAGCTGGTCTGGCTCAGTGAATAGAGCCTTGGCCTATAGCTGAAGGGCGCCAGGCGTGATTCTGGTCAAGGGCACATGCCCCAGTTGCAGGCTCAATCATCAGTGGGGAGAGTGTAGGAGGCAGCCCATCAATGATTTTCTCTCATCACTGATATTTCTATCTCTCTCTTCCTCTCCCTCTCTGAGATCAAAAATATATTTTAAAATAATCAATGATAAAATTCAAACAATAAGGGAACCAAGATAGGAAAGTATAGAATTAACACACAGAACTTAATTACCTTCATATCTTAATATAACCAGCACACAAGATAGAGAAAAATCCCATTTTTAACAGCAACAAAAAATATTGCATACTTTAGGGATAAATTTAAGAGATATGCAAAAGCTATGTAAGGAAAAAATTTAAAAACACTCCTGAAAAAGGCTAACGCAGACTGCTCTCGATTAGGCTTAATATTAGAAAGATGTCACTTAACTAAAATTAGATCCCAATCTCACAAATGCTGAAGAATATATTCCAAATGGATCAGAAATGTATTTAAAATTAAAAATGAAATACAGGACTAGGAAAAAAACCCCAAAACAAGTGAATTTATCTTTAACTTTAGTATAAAGAAAGGCTTTCTAAGTATTCACATATAATCGAGAGGCAATGAGATTAACAAAGTTTACTATGTAAAAAATGGAAGCTTTCACATTACAAAAACATACTATAATCAAAGCCAAAAGATATTAGGAGACACTACTTATAACAAATATAACAATAGTTTATATAAAAAATTCTTAAAAATTGAGAAAGAACCAAAAATTCAATAGTAAAATGGAAATAACATGAATAGACTGATCATAAAGATATTCAAATGGCCATTAAATGAAGATATTCAACCTCATTCATAGCTAAAAAAGCAAATTAAAAACTACTCTGAAATATCATTTTAAACCTATCAGATTTGACAAAAATTAAAGCATGACATTCTGATGGCAAGGCTGTGGGCAGAGGCACTCTCATGCATTCCTACTGGGAAAACAAACCGGCATCACCCTTTGGAGAATGTGGCCATGTCTAACACAAGTGCATATCCACTTGTATGTCGACCCAGCAGCACTACTTCAGAGAATTTTCCTGAAGCAAGATACATCCCAACAATATAAAAACATATGTGCACAAGGTTATTCAATTGCAGCACTGTAATGGCAAAATAGTGGAAATTGCCTAAATGCCCGCACATAGACAAATATTTGAATAAACTCAAATATTCACAAGATGGAATATTATATAGCTGTTAAAATTTTCTTTTAAAGATCTCTGAATTGGCAATTTCTATGGTATACTGTAAAGCACAAACAAGAGTAACTATAATATGCTACATTTCATGTAAGAAAAAACACATCTATTTATTTTTTAATAATATATTTTATTGATTTTTTATAGAGAGGAAGAAAGAGGGATAGTGTGTTAGAAACATTGAGAGAGAATCATCGATCAGCTGCCTCTTGCACCACCCCCACCGGTACATGCCCTTGACCGGAATCGAACCCAGGACCTTTCAGTCTGCAGGCCGACGCTCTATCCACTGAGCCAAACCGATCTCGGCCTATTCATTTATTTTTTTTTAAAATAGGATAAACTGGATACATAGACACATTAGCTATAGGTAACAGGATAAAAATGACAGAAAATAAAAAGATATTTCTTTTAGAACTATGCTAATGTTTTATATGTAAAAAACGTTAAGGAATGGGAGGTTTTGTGAAATACAAATTAACTACATTATAAATGAGAAACATAACCATACTGAAAGGGGGAACAGAGAAAAGAACCAGCATAACTTTGTAAAACAATATTTTTAAAAACTTTCATTTTCAAAAAGGGAGAGGGAGAAATAGCGATGATGAGAATCATTGGTTGCCTCATGTACACTGGGGGTCAAGCCTGCAACCAGGCATGTGCCCTTGACCAGATGGAACCTGGGACCCATCAGTCCACAGGGCAGTGGTCTATCCATTGAGCCAAACCAACTAGGCTGTAAAACAGTATTTTGATTATGGAATGAGACTAAAACAAAGAGCGTAGGCCTGCGTACTAAAGGTTCGATTCTGGCCAAGGGCACATGCCTGTGTTGTGGGCTTGATCCCCAATAGAGGACATGCAGGAGGCAGCTGATCAATGATTCTCTCACCATTGATGTTTCTATCTCTCCCTCTCCCTTCCTCTCTAAAATCAATAAAGACATATATTTAAAAAAAGAGGTTAACACTTGGAGAATATATGAAAATACCTTATAATTTTCATATATTAACTCATCTTTTTCAAAATGAATTTAAAAAAATTTAAGGTACTTTCACTTGTTCAGAAAAATAACTAACAATCTCTCTCCAGTGTGTCAAGCTAATTTTAGTCATTAAAAGAAAAAACACCAAAAGTAGAAGAAATGATACAAAATAGAAAGTTATAGCTTCCATTTGTAATTAGTCAAACTACATATGAATCTTAATTCTAGGTTAAGTTCAATCACTCGGTTATTAAGATCTGAACTATTGGGCAACAGCATTAAGAAAATATATCGAACCTGACTGGTGTGGCTCAGTGGTTGAGTATTGACTTATATGCACCAGCAAGTTGCTGGTTTCAAGGCTCAATCCCCAGTGAGGGTGTGTGCAGGAGGCAGCAGATGAATGTTTCTCTCTCAGAGATGTTTCTATCTTCTCTCCTTTCCTCTCCCACTAAAAATCAAAGAAAATATGTAGAGCTAATGGATGGTAGACACTAGTTAGAGAATACCTTCTAGCACTAGATATGCTTTGGCAGGCTTTCTATAGCACAGGGCAGACAAACACTCTGGCAGGGGAGGAAGAGAAGGATGCTATAGAACTAAATGCTAAATTAGGTAAGAGTCTAATGAACAATAATTAAATACCTTTCATTACCTTGGTCAACCATCTGGGCAAAAGCAACAATGGTAACATTTGTTAAAAAGCAAGCAAACAAACAAAAAACACCCAGCAACAATTAAGCATAAGAGAAAATAAGAACACTATTGAGTTTGACAAATTTATTGGTATTTTAATAAAGACATTCATCTCAGTTATTTCTCTCTCCCATCTTGACCATAGGCTATTTCATTTGAGTCAAGAAAAGAATATGCAGGAGAGGGATTTTATTTTAACAGTAAAATAGACAAAAATGAAAAGTTTGCCTACATTAAAGCAAGTTAAATTCATGTATCTTGATATCATTAAATCAAATAGTTAAGAACTAATAGTTCTATATACATTTCCATTGTTTTTCTTGGGACTTACTCTAATAAATGAAAGTTAACTAAGTGTTAAGAATATATACAGACTGCTTCTCTGGAATTACTACCTTTTAAAAGAGCTTTGCAATTAGTTACCACCATTAAGACAGTCTGAAGCTGCCTGCAAATTTAACATTGTATAAGTTTTCAAGGAGATCATTATACTGCATTTTTCTTTTATCTATGACTATACCTTTAAAGATGTGTTTGTCACATTAAAAAAGAATTCATATACAATACAAAAATACAAAAACAAAACAAAACCCTACAACACATAGCTCTAACAAAGTATATGTGGTCAAAGAGTCCATAAGATGTTTAAAGATGCATTTTCTTTCTATTTTCAATATCGAAAATGTGCTTTTGAGAGGCCACTGGTTAATATGCATACACTTAAAATAAACCATTTTATTGTATTAAATAAGGATTCCTGTAGTTAAGTACAAATCAAAATGGAATTCACAAATTAGTAACTTAAATGGTATGACAAAATTACAGAAAGTCCATCTTTCTTATTTTCCATCTTGACACAATGTTGCTTTTTTGCTGTGTTACCTTTTAAAAAATAAAAACAGCCAAATATTTAAGTATTATGTACATTTAAAATTTTTGGTGGTGGTTTGTATTTTAAAAGAAACAGCTTCCTATGACTTGCCTCAAGACTGGTGGAAATGCTTACAGGAACTAAGCTAATAACAAAACCAAGAGAAGCACATTCAAATACTGATTTACTTTGGTAGCAAACGGTTGTTCTTTGTAGACTAATGAAGGCAGACAAGACCCATTAAGGTGAAGTGGGCTATATCAAATACTCAACAATATACATAAAATTAAAAAAAAATTATTTTAAAGAGCTAAGCCTCTGTATCCATTGATAGCAATGCAATATCTAGTTTGACTTGAAACAAAACAAATGCCCATTAGGAAAAAAAGCAATATTTTAATTTTATCCAATTCACTTTCAGTCAATACTCCAGTAACATTTTCCTCCCAATACAAACTCCCTCTTTATAAGGCTGTTCCTGGGAGCCAGAAAGTTTAGGTTGATAAGGGAGTTAAGTTAGAGTAATTGCTTGCTGTTTAAACAGACAATAACTTTTTGCTTCCCTCTTAATGTGCTAATAGTTGTGTCTAAAAAAATATGCAATTCTTAGAAAGGTACCATTTCTGATTTTTTTTAAATTATCTGTAACCTTTGGAAACTAATTACATGAAACTACAAAATTAGCAAATGTCTTGAAATCTGTATATAAAACATAAATTACGTCTAATTTCAAACTCTCATTTATTAGTGTACCACTCAATCTTAAAAAAAAAAGGCGGCTCCAAAGATAGTCTTATATCATTCTTTAAAAAGGAAACTGTTCCTTTTAACTTTACACCCACCCCATGCCCCAATTCAAAACATATCTTTAATTGTCTTGGTCATGGACATTTCCAAGATGGGATTTTATATTTCGCTCCCATAGCTTCTGGTTATCAGAAAACCCATGCTTTCCTTTATTAAAGGAGTTTGGTCCTGCTGATGTTGGTGTATCCCTGTGATAAAAGAAAAGAAATTTATTCAAAATGTTATACAAAGTCTTTTGGGCCATGTTTTTAATCATTCAAAACACATTTGTTTAGCGCTTATTATAAATACAGGCTGAACATCAGAAGCCTCTACAAAGGTTTTAAAAAATATCTTTTCCGCCGAAACCGGTTTGGCTCAATGGATAGAGCGTCGGCTTGGGGACTGGAAGGTCCCGGGTTCGATTCCGGTCAAGGGCATGTACCTTGGTTGCGGGCATATCCCCAGTAGGGGGTGTGCAAGAGGCAGCTGATCGATGACTCTCTCTCATCGATGATTCTAACTCTCTCTCTCCCTTCCTCTCTGTACAAAATCAATAAAATATATTTAAAAAAAAAAAATATATCTTTTCCATAGACCCAGTTCTAAAATTTCAGATTCAGGCTTAAGGAGGATAAATTTGTAGTTTTAACACCTGAGGTGATGATACACTATAGGCCCGGTGTATTCATGCACCAGTGGGAGGGTCCCTTGGCTTGGCCTGTAGGATCAGGCCAAATCAGCTCTCCAACATTCCCCCAGGACACAGACCAGGCTGAAGGACCCCACTCTGTACGATTGGGGCCATGGAGAGACACAGGAGGTTGGCCAGCCAGGGAGGGACTGTGGGAGTGCTCCAGGGCGTTTCCTGCCAGTCTCACTCAGTCCTGATTGGCCAGACCCCAGCAGCAAGCTAATCTATTGGTAAGAGTGTATTCCCCGTGGTGGTCAGTGACATCAGTGGTTGAGCAGCCTTAGCATATTATGCTATGATTGGGTGAACAGCTGACCGGATGCATAGCATATTAGGCTTTTATTATATAGGTCGGTGCACAAAATTCATGCAAGGGGCATGGGGGAGGGGCAGGCCCTCAGCCCAGCCTGCATCCTCTCCAGTCGGGGACCCTCTGAGGGATGTCTGATCCCAACAGGCCTAAACTGAGAGTGGGACATCCTCCTCACAATCTGGGTCCACTGACTCCTAACCACTCCATGCCTGATCGACGCTGCTGGCCTGATCTTGCCCCCAACTGCCCTCCCCTGTTGGCCTGATTAACCCTAACTGCCTCTGCCCCCACTACCATGGCTTTGTCCAGAAGGAAGTTGGATGCCTGGAAAGAATTTGGGCTAATTAGCATATTGTCCTTTTAGTAGTATAGATTATATAGGATAGGATTGCTACGGGGGAGGGGGGGCAAGGAAGAGAGCCTTTTCCAGCAGAAGACATGCTCTTGCTGACAAAAATAAATAATCCCTAATCTGGACTGATAGCCAGCCTTATGCATTATACTGCCAAACCGGTCATTAAAAAATTGAACTGCTTTCTTACACTTTACACCAAACAGCTGTTGCCTTAAAACCCCTCCTCAGTCCCCACCTTAGGTTCTGCCTTTGCAGTTCACCCAGATTAAGTTCTGACTGGTTGGCTTCTATGCAGTGTGTCAAAAGCCCGCCTCCTAGGCAGCCATTGGTTCCTCACACTTCACCCAGATTTGGTTCTGATGGGTTGGTTTCTATGCCAGTAAGTGACTCCAGGCCTACCTCTGGGCCTGATCAGAGAGGTGGGGCTGATTAGCAGCCCCCCCAAGAAGGCCCAGAGAGAAACTGAGGCGTGGCTGCTGGCAAAGCCGGAGAGAAAGAGAGGCAACAGCTGATATGGAGGTTTCGGATCAGACCCTGTCTCTCTCCTTCCAGGGCCTCCCCCCCATCCCCAGCCTCTCTTCAGGCCTGATCCGTAGCCCCCTCAGAAGTCAGTGCTAGGTTGCTGTGCCCACAGCCACCGCCACCTAGCACTGACTGCAGGACTGACTTCTGGTTGGTCAAGCCTTCAGTCGTTACAAACCCTGGGTTTTTATATATTAGGATAGCTAATGGTGGCAACCATTATAGTTTGAAAAAATTGTTGCTATTTTGTTGCCTATGGATTCTTCTAAGATTTTTATGGTTTTTCATCTTAAGTCCTTTACCCATTTTGATATATATATTTTTAAAATATATTTTTATTGATTTTGTACAGAGAGGAAGGGAAAGAGTTAGAAACATTGATGAGAGTCATTGATCAACTGGGGATATGCCCGCAACCAAGGTACATGCCCTTGACCGGAATTGAACTCGGGACCTTTCAGTCCCCAAGCAGACGCTCTATCCATTGAGCCAAACTGGTTTTGGCCCTTTACCCATTTTGAAATAAAAAAACTATGTATGTATACAAAACCACAAAACAACTGTTGCTTGCAACCCATTAATAAAGTCATGAAGTTAATTTGCTGGCTTGTCATCAGCATTTATAAAAAATTAAACATAAGCCCTGACTGGTTTTGCTCAGTGGTTAGAACGTCAGACTGAAGGGTCCTGGGTTCGATTCCAGTCAAGGGCATGTACCTTGGTTGCAGGCACATCCCCACTAGGGGGTGTACAGGAGGCAACTGACTGATGTTTCTAAATCTCTATCCCTCTCCCTTCCTCTCTGTAAAAACTCAATAAAATATATATTAAAAAAAATTAAGCATAAGAAAAACATGAATATGTACCACAAACAGATTTAGGTCATTTTATGAACTCTTTTTAATTTTACATATTTAGATAGATGTATTTAGATTGGGTTACAATGTCTTAGATTCTAGTATAAAATGAAGGTACTGGGACTGTTCCCATTTGAATCATAGACTGAAAATCTGAAGACTAATACCTGTTTATGAACTTGGCAATTAGTTCTTCGGAATTCATACATTAAGTAGAAATGGGGACATAGTATGGGTCAATTTAAAGCTAAGCTTTCTTACTAGCTTCTAAATTACCCATTTATGTGTACAAAGGAAACGGAACATCATGTTAATTAAAAATTAACATTATTTCCATGACAACAGAAACAATAAAGAAAAATTAAAATATTTTTGCTTTATTTTGGTTTTTGACATTTAAGTGACCATGGAAAAAAGGGTATTTATGATTAAGATTAAGTGGTGAGAATATCATAAATGAAATGAGTCAAAGCCATTTCTTTTTATACCAAAAAAAAAAATCAATATAAATTTTAGATCAGAACATTGCTCATAGCTATTTCTTATTAAAAAAAAAATAAGTAAAAGATATATAGATTACATCTATCTAAAAAAAAGTCTTAAATTGTTAATTTTCTTAAGGTACTCATCACTGAGAGAATCCAAGATGGCTGCACAGGTAAATACCTAGCCGCAGCCGCATACAATTTAAAAAAAATACAACTAAAATATAAAATGGACATTACCCAGAACTACAGGAAAGTCGACTGACTGGAAATTCTTCAACGAGAAGCAAGGAGAAAACCGGAAGGAAGCGCAGAGGAGCTGTAAAAGCCTAAGGTACGGAGACACGCAGAGCGCGGAGAGGATAGAGCCGGAGAGAAGGGGCGGCTAAGGTGCTGGCTGGCATTCCCTAGCGGGAAGGAGATAAAAGCTCCTTCCCGCTAGGGAATGTGCTGGGCCCCAGTTCCGACTGCTCTGAACCCCAGTTCTAGGCCAGACCCTGGCGACTTAGGCTCATACAGAGGGAGCTGGGCTGTAAGGCGGAACTATGGGAGAGTGGCGAAAGGAGGTCCCAGAAGCGTGCACATTGCGTGCAGAGAAGGGACAGTTGGCAGTGCCGCAGGATTGCCCTGATGGGAAGACTAGCGCTCCAGTCTGCTCTGAACGCCACCTCCAACTCCACTTCCAGCTGAACTGAACCCCAGTTCCGGGTTCATTGGGGGAGAGCCTAGACTGTTTGGTAGCAGGCGAAAATCGAGGGCACCTTTCTCTCAGAGGCGCTTGCAGTGAGTACTGAAGGAAACTGAGTCTCAGGACCCGCAATAGGCGGGGCTGACAGAAGCCAAGGTTATAGGCTCCACCCTGAAACTCCGCCCCATCAGGGAAGCTGCGAAAATGCCGAGACAACGAAATAGATCACAAACGAAAGAAATGGAGGACAAAAAGCGACTGGATATAGAGTTCAAATCTATGCTTATAAGGTTTTTCAGAAATTTCCTAGAGGATATGAAAAGGGATCAACTAGAATTAATAAGGAATCAACGAGAAATGATAAGGGATCAACAAGAAATAAAGAATACATTATCTGAAATAAAAAATATTATACAGAGTCCTAAAAACAGAATGGAAGATCGCAAGAATCAAGTCAAAGATTTGGAACATAAAGAACCAGAAGACCCTCCTCCACAGAAGCTAGAAGGCAAGAGAATCCAGAAAATTGAAGATAATGTAAGAAACCTCTGGGACAATTTCAAGCGAACCAACATCAGAATTATGGGAGTCCCAGAAGATGAGAGAGAGTAAGATATCCAAAACATACTGAAAGAAATAGTGACAGAAAACTTCCCCCACCTGGTGAAAGAATTAGACTTACAAGTCCAGGAAGCGCAAAGAACTCCAAACAAAAGGAATCCAAAGAGGACCACACCAAGACAAATCATAATTAAAATTCCAAGAGCAAAAGACAAAAAGAGAATATTAAAAGCAGCAAGAGAAAAGCAGGTAGTTACCTATAAAGGAGCACCTATACGACTGTCAGCTGATTTCTCAACAGAAACCATGCAGGCCAGATGGGAATGGCAAGAAATATTCAAGGTGATGAATAGCAAGAACCTACAGCCAAGGATAATCTATCCAGCAAAGCTATCACTCAGAATCGAAGGTCAGATAAAGAGCTTCACTAATAAAATAAGCTAAAGAAGTTCATCACCACCAAACCAGAATTATATGAATTGCTGAAGGGGGTTCTTTCAGAAGAGAAAGTAAATAAAGATAAAAATTGTGAACAAATATGTAACTATCAACAAGTGAATCTAAAAACCAAGGAAATCTGATGAACAATATTAACTGTTGAATATAATAGAATCAGAGGTATGGAAGGGGAGTGAACTGACGATTCTTGGGGAAAAGGGGTGTGGGAAGAGACTGAACATAAACTGTGCACCTATGGATGAGGACAATGGGGGGTGGGGAAAGGGCAGAGGGTGGGATGGGAACCTGGTGGAGGAGAGCAATGGAGGGATGGGGGTGGTAAAGGAACATTTGTAATAATATGAACAATAAAAATTTATTAAGGAAAAAAAAAAAAAGATACTCATCACTGATTAAAACAGACAAAAAAATCCTCACAAAACTGTTATGCTCAATACACAAGAAAAGCCTGAATACTTAAAGATTATGTATAATTTATTCTTGCTCGTCAGTCACCATAATTTTCTACAATATTTATGAAAAAATATAATACCTTCCAATATTCTTCATCCTCATCTTTGCTTCTGGAGGCATTTCCTCAGGTTCGCTCTGGAGATAAAAAAGAAAAACAGAAGTTAATAGAGATGATTGCATATAGATTTATTAAATTCACTTAATTACAATATGCAAAATTCTATAAGTCTTTTAGCATTTTTAATTTTGTAAATTTTGATAAAAGAAAAAAATTATCTTAACTACATTTTAAAAATAAATATACTTCTAGTGTGCTAGTTTTGCATTAAAGCTTTTGGTGAAAACTAGATATTCTAGAATTAAAATCATTTGTTGAGCCGAAACTGGTTGGGCTCAGTGGATAGAGCATCGGCCTGGGGACTGAAAGGTCCCTGGGTTCGATTCCGGTCAAAGGCATGTACCTTGGTTGCGGGCACATCCCCAGTGGGGGGGGGAGGGGGGGGCCCAAGAGGCAGCTGATCGATGTCTCTCTCTCATCGATGTTTTGAACTCTCTATCCCTCTCTCTTCCTCTCTGTAAAAAATCAATAAAATAAAATCATTTGTTGATTATATACTATACACTGTGTTAAATACTTTTTAATATGCATGATATTTTAAAAATCTATAACAATTGTACATGATTATCATCATTCCCACTCTGCAGGTGAAATAAACAAGGTCAACTTGTCTAAGGTAAAAAAGCTAATAAACAGCAAAACAATAGAGTGCCAAAGCAGACTCTTAATCATTTTCCTAGACTGTTCCTTCTCAAAAATGCTTCCTTGACTAAAAGATATCTTGAAAGTTCTTTGCTTACTATTTCCCCCTATTTATAGTTATGGATAAGTTACAATGATGTAAGTCTTTAAGTATAAATTTTGTCGATGAGCTTAAATATTTTTTAAAGGGGGTCCTTAAGATTAAAGGAGTTTCTATTGGTTAAATCTGGGACAATCAGAGCATCATAACCAAATAAATAAACTAAGAATCCATGAACCCACCAAACACAAATAAGGGAAAGCTCTTCTTCACAGTGATAAGGGTTAGCTAGCTTAATTAGGCAGATAGGAGGGGGGGTGGGGGAAAGAGAGGAGAGGAGAAGGGAAGGTCCAGAAAGGATGAAGGCATTTCTGGCTTGAGCAATTAAAAGCAGCCTGACCTGAGCAGTTGGGAGAGCCATAGGGGTAATAAAACATCTCCAGCCAGGACAACTGAGAGAGGGTCCATGGGAGAGGAATGCACAGATGGGGGCTTGGAGGCACCAAAATGCTTATCTTACTTTTACAGGACAGAAAAATGCCACAGGCTAAGGGGGAAGGAAGACATACATTCACAGAGGATAAAGAAAAGTCACAGGATATTGGGAAGGAACTTATTTTCACAAAGGACAGAGGAATGTTGCAAGATAAGGGGAGAGAAGGAGGGGAGCACCAAGTGGGTTTTGAGCTCTGATACCAAAACGATGTAGCACAGTGACCAATGAGGAAAGCACAGAAGACAAAGACTCAGTAGATTCAGATTATTTAGTTTTGAGAGAGAGAGAGAGAGAGAGAGAGAGAGAAGGAAAGAGAGAGGGAGAGGGAGAGGGAGAAAGCAAGGACAGGCCTTTTCCCATTTGGGACACCAATGCCCAGATGAAGTTTGTATCTGCTTCTAATAAACATCTACATTTTTATTAAAGAAATCTGTTTGTCCACGAATTCTTCAACTTCGTTGGACAAGAACCCACAAGAAGAATCTGCTCCCAAACCTCACATTTCAACAGTAACAATAAACATAGAGAGGATGAAAGAATTAGAAAAGTCATTTGGTAAAATTTTAACAACTGATTCTGGCAAGAATCACCAATGGATGTTAACACTCAAGAGTAAATGCTTAACATGGAATCTCGGAGGGAAGGTGAGGGTGGGTGAGTAGGTGGGAGGTAACCAACCAAGGACCTTGCATGCATACATTCATGGCCCATGGACACAGACAATGGGGCAGTAAGTACCGTGTTTCCCCGAAAATAAAACATCCTCCAAAAATAAGACCTACTTACAGGTTTCCTTCTGAGTGAAATATAAGGCATCCCCCCAAAAATAAGGGCCCCCTAGGCTCTGTCTCAGAATGAAAATTAATTTACTGGTCATTAGGGCCGCCCCGACTGGCATCTAGCAACCAGTGATATTACGCGGAGTCCTGACGTCATTGCTGTGTGGAGGCGGAGAGGAGGTCGGAGTGAGCAGTGAGCGCAGGGGTGGGGGGAGAAGAGGAGGCGGCTTTCGCAGATGCGTGTAGAAGAACAGGAGGATTAGAGCGGATGGGACTCGGCGAAGGTGGTGAGTACTGGTCTGTCTCTGGTGACACTACCTGATGCTTGTGGCCGCCCTCATGATGACTGAAGGTTCTCAGTCAGTGGCAGACCCTGCCCAGATCCAGGCCCCAGCAAGCCCAGTGACAGTCCCCAGGCAGGCCCCAGGGGGTAAATGTCTGATAAAGGGGTAGGGGGGATGTCTGGTGAAGGTGTTCAGTGGCACAGGGGTGGGGAGAGGGGGATCACTTAAAATGACACAGGAGGATCAGAGGAGGCAATCAAAATGATACAGGAGGATCAAAAGAGGTTACTAAAATGGTAACCCCCTCCCCCGATTCTCCTATGCCATCTTGATTCCCCCCCTCTGATCCCCCTGTGTCATTTTAAGTGATCCCCCTCCCCTCACCTTGATATCCCAATTCCTTTTTTTTATCCCTAGAAATGAGCGCAAAAAGAAAAAGCTACTCCGAGGAGTACAAGAAAGGAATCGTGGAAAACTCTTGGGGCCAAAATCTTACTGCTTTCTGCAAAGAGAAGATGTTGAGTATCCGATTGGTCCGAAAATGGCGCGCAGAGTACGGTAACCTCATTGAACAAGTGGACAAAGGAAATGCTAAAAAGTGAAAGTGTGAGCCGAAACCGGTTTGGCTCAGTAGTAGAGCGTCGGTCTGCGGACCGAAAGGTCCCAGGTTTGATTCCGGTCAAGGGCATGCACATTGGTTGTGGGCCCATCCCTGGTAGGGGGTATGCAGGAGGCAGCTGGTTGATATTTCTCTCGCATCGACATTTCTAGCTCTCTATCGCTCTCTCCTCCTCTCTGTAAAAAATGAATAAAATAAATAAAAAAATAAAAAATAAATAAATAAAAAGTGCAAGTGTGGATTAGGTCAGCAACCATTATTTTACGAGCTGAAAGACCTGATATATGAATGGGTTGTTGACAGGAGAGCAGAGGCTTTGGTTGTGAATAGGGCTCAGATTCAAGAATTTGCCCTTGCAATGGCACCACAGTTTGACATAACCCCGAAGACTTCAAAGCATCACAACACTGGCTGGATAATTTCCTTCAGCAAAGTGAACTGTCTTTAAGAAGATCTACTGGTACAACATTGTTTAGGTTGGAAGACACTCAAGTTATTAAGCGAGTCCTTTATTGATGATGCTGACTTCTCTAAAGGAAAAGATGGAACGTATTTTGGGTGTTTTTATTCTTGAAACTGAAAAAGCCTGGGCCACACAAGCAGTTAGAAGGAAGTGAGTCGGTTTAATGCTGCCTCTTGTTATGCGAGGGAGCCAAAGAGGTCTGCTAGTTTGGTTTGCAGCCAACACTCACCTCGCTAAAGACATGAAGACATTTCTTCATGAAAGAAAAATAGTTCAGATAATGATTCCTGCAGGAATGATGGCCTATCTCCACACTCTTTAAAAAAAAAAAATATTTATCGATTTTTTACAAAGAGGAAGGCAGAGAGATAGAGAGCTAGAAACATCGATGAGAGAGAAACATCAACCAGCTGCCTCCTGCACACCCCCCACTGGGGATGTGCCCGCAACCAAGGTACATGCCCTTGACTGGAATCGAACCTGGGACCTTTCAGTCCACAGACCGATGCTCTACCGCTGAGCCAAACCAGTTTCAGCAATCCACACTCTTGATATTGCAATAAAAAAGCCATTCAAAGACAATTTGCACATGGAAATTAATGACTACATTGAAAATAGAAAGGAGAGAAATCAGCGTGGAAACTTTGTGAAATCTAAACTGCAAGAAGTTGTGACTTGGGTGAAGAATTCATGGGAGAAAATCACTGACAGTTGCATTGCAAATGCACTGCGAGCAGGCTACCTTGACAAGAAACTCATTTAAAGACAGTGCTATTGCTAAACATGAGATTTGGTCCACTGATTCTGAAAGAAATGGGGTCACAAGAAATTCACCAGGAAATTCAGGAATTGGATTGTTATGATGATGTTCCAGAAGATAATGACATGATTGTCATTGAACAAATGAGTAAATTCTTGATACTATAGGATTCAGTTTGTCTGGTTTGTGTTGACAACTACCATACTACTGTACCGTATACAGGTAATAAATTTCCTTTATTTTCTTTTAACAATAAATGTGTACCATATTCTTCTTCATGGAAAAATAAGACATCCCCTGAAAATAAGATCTAGTGCATCTTTGGGGGCAAAAATTAATATAAGACACTGTCTTATTTTCGGGGAAACACGGCAGGGGCAGACTGGAGGAAAAAAAGAGGACATATGTAATACTTTCAACAATAAAGATTTTTTTTTTTTTTAAAGAGTAAATGCTTAATATACCTTCTCAAACCATTATCTCCAATAAGGTAAATTTTAATTAGAAAAACAAAACATAAAAACAAACCAGTGACTTGACAGTACAGACATCACTTTAACCAAATGATCCAAGTTAATGATGCCTATAATGGGACATATTGACAATATGTGCTCTTTGATATGCAGCACTTCTGTGGTATTCCAGCTAAAAGAAATTAGACTCTAAAGAGATATAAGAATGTCCTTTGTCCAATATGTTTCAGGCTCAGATATATATTCGAGGTAAAATAACTGTTTCTACATAAAAAGAACCAGATAAAGATTTTATTTTGCAGATTTCAGATATTAGTCCTTTGAGACAAACTAACGTGTGCTGGGGACCAAATCTCAAATGCTCCCCTCTTTGTTGGTTTTATTATTTTTGGTATTTTTAAATTGACTTTTTTTTTTTTTTAATTGAGAGAGGAAAGGGGGAAAGAGAGAAACATTGGTGT